TTCTTTAACATCTTACTGATCTCATGAAAACGTTATTCTGTTCGAATCTTGTGTTATTGAATGAGCAACAAACTTTATGTACAGGTAACTGATTAGTGTTATGCAAGTGAAGAATTCTTTATGCGTACGCGTATAACACGTATAGCTGAAATAAACTGGATAAAAATATATATTTAACAAAATTGAATGTTAAACTTTGATGAAATAAAGTTTTTAACGTATTCTCTAGCTGGATGTCATACAGATTATTCAGAGACAACTTTCTCCTTGTATTTAGTTTGAATTACAAGACGGGAGATAGGAAAAATACTTATCATCTCTCATTCGATTGATACTCAATGTTGCATTATTTATAAATAAAAGAAAAAATAAGCTTAAAATAATTCACTGTCATTTTATTCAGGCGTCGTGAATTTTCCTCGGACCTTGACTGCTTTGTTTACAGTTGTGCAACCTGTTTATCGATCGCACATGCATTGACCTATATACATTCCGGAGGTCAAAATTACCGCTCTTTGATTTTTACGCGAGTCCTAGAGTTATCTAAAACGATGCTAGTCATCGATTTACTAAGTTTAAAATCCAAAGAATTTGTCATTTGCGTAAATCGTAAGAATATTTTTAGAAGCAATTATAAAGGTTTTCTTGAACATGTAGGAGTATTAAAAGATAAAAATGTCTGATTCTATTCTTTGATGAATGAATAAAAAGCGCTGCGATTTTGCTCAGGTAAAGATGATTTCTCAGGACGAGTCCATTGGTTACACTGAAAGGTGACGCAGGATGACCTATCGATAACTGCCAATTTTGATAGAGATTGTAATTGCACATGTACATAAATTAATGTTGAATTTTACCCTTGTGAAGTCCATTATAGTTTCGTTATTTAAAGAATCGAGGATATCACTACTGCAACTTAATTGATTGTTTTTTTTTTATTTGAACGGATGATTCTTTATTATTGGAAAAGATCGGAAAAAAAATTAAGTAACTTTGAGTCTTGCATAATTTGCTATGCTGTCTGGAACAGCTAGCTAAACCTGGGGTCCTCACAGTCACACATAATCAATAACACAAGGTGCTGGTTCCATATTTATTACGGTACGTAAATGAATGAGTGAGTGATTCAATGAGGATGAGACAGGCAAATAACTGAAATAAACAAAACAAATACTAAATACCAAAAAAGACCGAAACAGAGTTCCATAGAAAAAAAAAGCTCACATATAAACCTAACCATAATAATAGATCAATTACTTTAACAATTACTAAATAAAATGAATAACAATAATCAATTCTCAAATCTTTCCTGATCTAAAACTTCGTGAAAAAATACCTGACTGAAAAGAGTTTACAATAGTACACAAAGTTTCTCAAAAAATGATTACCGAAATAACTTACAAATAATATGCATTACATCACAAAAGTTTGCTATAAAAAAACTTACATGGTAGTAGGCCACAAATCAAGGAAAGTAGAAGGAAGAACAAAAAACATGTATGTACTTCTTCACGGATGGAACTCGAATGGCTGACAAATTTGCACGGGAAAATGAGGGAAGTAACTCTATTTACAAAAGAGTTCTACTCAAGGAAGATAATTCAAAAAATTGACAAAGAACGATAACTCTATATGGTTCATATTACAAAACGATATAAATGAAAAAATAAGAACTGTGACAGCACACTCCCCGTCTGATGTTTGTAACATCACAAAAGTTAAATAAACTACACTACGTCATTGGCAAGAAGCAACACCATCTCGGTCACCGGACGGATAAATGTGGACGGCTGGCAGCCACGTCTCACCATACGTATTTCGGCTTTCCGCACTTTCCCATCATCACTAAGGAACGATTTTACGATGGCACCCATAGGCCAAAGATTACGGTGAACATTCATGTCACGAAGCAACACAATATCACCCTCTGTAATGTTTCTTTCACTGCGCGTCCATTTCCTACGAATCTGCAGCGTATGAAGGTACTCTTTCCTCCAGCGTGTCCAGAATAAATCTGCCATATGTTGTACACGTTTCCATTGGGCTAGATACATGTTCATCTTGTCAACAGGGAAGTTGACGATCACAGGGGTTTTCTGGGTAAGTATCATAGAAGGGCTCAGAGGGTACGGATCATCTGCATCTTCCGACAAGGGGACTAACGGTCTGGCGTTAACAATCGCTGAAACTTCAGCCATGAATGTTGTAAGTATCTCATGAGTGAGAGATCTGGCTGGTATCTCCAACATAACAACATCAATTACACGTCTTACGACTCCAATGAGGCGTTCCCATGCGCCACCCATGTGCGAAGAGTGGGGTGGGTTAAACTTCCAAGTAGTTCCACACTCATAAAGGAAGTTTCTGATTTTACGGTCTGCTATGTTGAGTCCAGATGAATTGATTTTCAGGTCATTTATAGCACCCACGAAATTGGTTCCTTGATCTGAACGAATTTGGGTAACTTTTCCTCGAATGGCTTCAAACCTCTTAAAGGCGTTGATAAATGATGAGGAGCTTAACTCCTCCACAACTTCAATGTGAATTCCTCTCGTTGTAAGACAGGTAAATAAAATCGCCCATCTTTTTGAGTTCACAGATCCTCCACGTGTCCGTCGAGTAACTATCTCCCAAGGACCAAACGTATCTAGGCCGATTTATGTAAAAGGTGGGCTAGGCTCCAAACGATCTGTAGGAATGTCTGACATTTTTTGACACAATAGTTTTCCACGTAATTTTCTGCATTTGACACAGTAGTGTAGCATGGATGAAACTAATCTTCTGGCTCCTATTATCCAGAATCCAGCACTACGAATTGCTCCTGCTGTGAAGTGGCGACCTTGATGTATACTGAGTTCATGGTAGTAACGAGCAATCATTAACGCTATGTGATGGTTTCTTGGTATTATCACTGGATTTTTCTCATTGATTGGTAGAGAACTTTTATTGAGACGTCCGCCGACTCTCAGAATTCCATCTTTATCCAAGAATGGTGAAAGAGGTAGAATGTTACTATCTCTAGGCAGAGGTTTTTCTTTCAAAATGCACTGAATTTCTTCTGAATACACTTCACTCTGCACAGTTTTGATGATAAATTTCTCAGCTTTGATAAAACTTTCCACGGTATTTGAATTTTCACACACATGCCATCCAGAACATTTACTGTCTCTTTGATGAAAGGATTGCGCTATATATGTTGAAGTCTGGCGATAGTTTCAACAAGTCTCCTCCACTGAGAAAAACGTAAGAATCTTTCTGATTTCAATCCGAGTCCCGAGATATCAACCTTTAAACAAGTGATTTCTTGTCTGACGTCCTTGTCTGAATCTGGGTCCACCATCTCAAAGTGTATACTTGCATATTCAGTCTGTTGTAAGTTTGCAAGTGATGGTCCTGACAACCAAGTACTGTCTTGTAGAGCTTGAGCTGGTATCTGTCTCGTTGCTTGATCAGCTGGATTTTTGTCTGTTGATATGTATGACCACTGATCTGGTTTAGTCACTTTACGAATCTGCATCACTCTGTTTGCCACATACTGAAAGAACCTCCTCGAATTGTTGAAAATATATCCCAACACTACTTTACTATTACAGTAAAACTTGAAATGTTCAATCGGTAATTCAAGCTGTTCTGATACAAACTTAGCAATCTCCACCGCTAGCACAGCGCCACAAAGTTCTAAACGGGGTATTGAATGTCCTTGTAAGGGCGCTAGTTTTGATTTGCCCAGGACAAATCCAAAGTTTCCTTGTGATTCTACATAGGCCACCGCTGATATTGCTGATTCTGAAGCATCACAAAAAATGTGAATTGTTTTGTTAGACGTCTCGCTTCATGACTGTGTCTGTTCTAAGTAAACTCTTGGAATGTGTAGGTTTTGGAGATGTTGTAAGGAACTTTTCCATTTTTCCCACTGAGTAGACTGATTTTCTGGAAGAGGTTCATCCCAATTGACTGTTTCTTGAATTAGACTCCTCATGAGTGACTTGCCTTGGATGATGACTGGGGCAAGAAATCCTATAGGGTCGAATATACTATTTATTGTGGATAACACTCCCCTTCTTGTGAATGGTTTGGCGTCAATTGAGATTTTAAAGAAAAACGAATCCGATTGCAAGTCCCAATTTAGTCCTAAACTGCGTTGTGTTGGTAAATTGTCCTTTGATAAATCCAAGTCTTTAATTTCACTTGCCAGATCACTCGGTGGAAAGGCGTTCATAACTTCCTGGTTGTTCGAAGCTATTTTGTGTAGGCGTAATTTCCCGTAACTCAAAGCCTTCTGTGTTCTTCTCATGAGGTCCACAGCTTTTTCTACAGCAGGTTGTGACTGAGTTACATCAGTCCCAAACAGATTTTCTACTTCCTTTACAGTCTTGCGTAATCCATAGGTTGCAATGGCCGGTGAGGACTGTTTCCGAAGACATGAACAGTCATGCGGTATTCGATCAGTCTCTTGTCAGGGTTGTTATGTTCATGCCATAGAAATCGAAAATAATTTCGATGACTTTCACAGACTTTACAGTAAAACATTTGTTCAATATCTCCAATTAGTGCAACTTTGTCTCTGCGGAACCGTAGTAATACACCAAGAAGACTGTTAAGTCCGGTCCAGTAAGTAATACGTCATTTAGTGACTTTCCTTAGAATTTCGCTGAGGAATCAAACACAACTCTTATTTTGTTTGGTTTCTTTGGGTTGTAAACTCCAAACAATGGTAGGTACCAACACTCTTCTTCATTCTGTAGAGGTGGTGCTACTTCTGCATGACAGTTCTTGAACAATGCATCCATAAATTCCACAAAATGTCTTTTCTTTGTTGGATCCTTCTGCAAAGTGTATTCTAACTGTTTAGCTCTCTTTCTAGCTTGATCGTAGTTGTTTACAAGTCCCTGACGGTCCTTACGTAAAGGAAGTGGGGCTTGCCAATGTCCACTTGCATCTTTTGTAAACTGTGACTTCATGATATCTAGAAACTCATGATCATCCATAGAAAGTCCTAACTATTCATCACTCTTAGTCCTTTGAAAAACACTTTCACCGATTTCAGTTTTTGTACACATCATGTTTTTTGAGGTTTCATCGATGATTTTTCCCTTGACCTTTAAATTACTGCCGCAGGGTAACATCAGAGTAGGACGGCCATCAGGTAGAATACAAGTTTTCATGACGTTAATAACATCTGGTTTGTGGGTTTTACCCAAACAAGTTTCACCAATGATAGTCCAATCAAGGGATAGTTTTTGAGCGTATGGTTGATTTCCAAAACCAATGCGTTGGTCCAAGACGTGATGTGCTTTGGTTACATCTCTTCCTATCAGTAATAGGATTTCTGCGTTAGGATCAATTGGTGGTATATGATCAGCAATGTCATGCAAGTGTTCATAGTATAGAGCTACCTCCGGCGTAGGAATTTCCTCTCTGACTTCAGGGATTTCATCACACTCAATGATGGTAGGTATATCTATACAAATCTGTCGATCTAATGACTCTACCACTAATCCATGCACTTTACGTCCTGATCTTTGAACTTTTCCTGAACAAGATGTTAACAGGTAATTTGTTGTAGTTCCAATACTGTCCATAAGATCAAACAGTTTTGGTTTAGCAAGTGTTCTGTTTGACTGGTCGTCAATCACTGCATAAATTTTCACAGATTTTTGCGGACAGTGTTTTAGGTACACATGAACTAGAATGGTTTTAGCACAAGATTTTCCTCCATATGCTTGTCCACAGATTTGTGTACATTTAGAATTCACATCTGGGTTGTTCACATTTTCAAAATCTTGTCTCTCAGTGAAATTCTCCCCGCCATTGTTTCTCAAAGGGTATGGAGTCTTTATTTTTGGCCTATTCACATGTAATGGTGATGTGTGAAATTTGCTACTACATTCTCCACACTGCACATCAGAATGACACTCTGCTTGTTTGTGATCCTTTGAACAACATCTAAAACACAAATTGTTATCTTTCAAGATATTTCGCCGTTCATCAAATGATTTTGTTCTGAAACCTCTACACTGTTCCATAGAATGGTTTGTTTTATGAAGGGGACATTGATTTTCCTTTCCTGAGCTCTGAGAAATCTGTGGGGTTTGAGACAGAGCTGTTTTCCTGCTTGAATATTTCAAAGTTTTGTCACTTTGTTTCTGAATACTTAAGTTTCTGTCTGTATAAGCAAAACTGGGATTATTCTTGATACGGCTTTGCTCACGAATAAAGTTTGCAAATACGCGAAATGGAGGAAACACAACGTGATGATCACTGATGTATTTTACCGCCGTATTTGTCCATTTTTCTTGAAGTTGGTATGGAAGTTTCATGACGATAAGTGTCACTCCTGTCGATGCATCAAAGTATGCGAGTAAAGACTGGTAACGAATATCTTCTTTTGCTGCTAGGATTTCATCCAAAATATCAGACAAGTCGTATAGGCGTCGATATTCTTTTGACGTAATAGGAACAAAAGAGTTCAGTTTCGTTTTTAATGCAGACTCTATCATTTCAGGACACCCAAATCGCTCCTCTAATCTTTGCCAAATTCGCTGAAGTCCACGAGTAGGATTGTTTGCACTTGCCGCCTTAATGCTGAGAATCTGTTGTTGAGCTGACAGACTAGTGAATTTGATAAGAAAGTCTATTTCCTCTTCTGGTGTTACTTGCAAGTCTCTCATAACAGATCTGAAGGTTGCTTTCCAGGATGGGTAGAATTCAGGCTTGTCGTTAAATTTGATGAGACGTGAAAGCATTAAGTCTTTTTTCAGGAGATAACGAGTAAAGTCTTGTGTTGTTGCTTGTCCTACACTCCAGGATGGTTGTTGAGGAATTTATGGAAGAGCCTGAGGATTTAATGTTGATACACAGGGTTCTGGAATCGATGGAATGTTTTTATATTGAGTTTGAATTAGGGCATGTTGTTCTACATACGATTTTGTTCGTTCTTTTCTGTCGACACTCTCTAAATCTTTAATACATGTTTCACTACGACCACATCGACTTCCTTCTTCTTCACTGAGAATTTCGGCTTCAGCAACCGCTACTTCAGGCCAGGGCTGATGATGAAATCCATGATTACTCCATAACCTATTATGATATTAACCAAAAAATCATACATGATACTGTTAATTCGCAGGTTGTCAAATAAATTTAAGAAAAGGTCGGCAAAGATGAGTATGCCTAACTTAACTTTTTTATTCATAAACTCTTTAATTCACAATTTTGAAATAGGCACCAAGCCGCACCATCGATCATCATAACAATGCACTTAGCACTTGCTTAGTTTGTTTACTTAATACCAATACGCAGGGTAGGGGAACAAAAAATGTATTTCAAGTAATCAGTAATATTCAGCATGATCAGTAATGCCCCAATCACACATGAACCCCTGACCCTTAGGCCTAGATCCACACATTGCACAATTTTTGAAAAAGCAACCTTGCTTTTCAAAAATATTTGATAAATACCAAGGAGCAGATTTCAATCAATTCATCCAGTTTCAGTATATGAGTACAGCCCCCCTCCTTTATGGTACCCCTGACTCTGGGGCCTTGAAATTCACAATTCTGGAAGATTAGGACCATTACTCATCATAACTACATAGGTAGTTCATCTGCTTAATACCAAGGAGCAGAGAAGAAAACTTTCAAAGATCTAGTGTAATTTCATTGTATAATCAATAAAGCCCCACCCTATCACTAGAATCCCTGACCCTGGGGCCATAAAATTCACAATTTTGGAAGAGGCACTCTTGCTCATCATAACTATGCACTTATTTAGTTTATTTAATACTCAGAAGCAGAGAAGAAGATTTTCAAAAAATTCATGTATTTCACTTTATAATCTAAAGAGCCCCCCCCCCCTTACACCAAAACCCCTGACCCTGGGGCCATCGAATTCACAATTTTGGTAGAAGCACTCTTGCTTAGCATAACAAAGCACTTAGTTAGTTAATTCAATACTCAGGAGCAGAGAAGAAGATTTTCAAAGAATTCAAGTATTTTCACTTTATAATCTAAAGAGCCCCCCCCCCCCCCCTTACACCAGAACACCTGACCCTGGGGCCATCGAATTCACAACTTTGGTAGAGGCACTCTTGCTCATCATAACTATGCATTTATTTTGTTTATTCAATACCCAGGAGCAGAGAAGAAGATTTACAAAGAATTCAAGTATTTTCACTATATAATCTATAGAGCCCCACCCTAACACCAGAACCCCCAACACTTGGGCCATAAAATTAACAATTTTGGTAGAGGCACTCTTGCTCATCATAATTATGCACTTAGTTTATTTAATACCAAGGAGCAGAGAAGAAGATTTTCAAAGAATTTATGTATTTTCACTATATAATCTAAAGAGCCCCACCCTATCACCAGAACCCCTGACCCTGGGGCCATAAAATTCACAATTTTGGTAGAGGCACTCTTACTCATCATAACTATGCATTTATTTTGTTTATTCAATACCCAGGAGCAGAGAAGAAGATTTACAAAGAATTCAAGTATTTTCACTATATAATCTATAGAGCCCCACCCTAACACCAGAACCCCTGCTCCCAGGGCTATGAATTTCACAATTTAGTTAGAGGACTCAATGCTGATGAAAATCATGCAAACAGCTTGACTGCTTCATGTCCTGGAGTAAAGAAGAAGATTTTTTAAAGATTGCACTAATTTTAGTGGTTTTTGTTCCACCCCCTGGCCCCAGGGGGGCAGGGCCCATGAAATTCACAATTTTTGTTACCCTTCACCTATAGATACTTTGTGCCAAATTTGGTAGAAATTGGTTCAGTGGTTGCAGAGAAGAAGCTGAAAATGTTCAAATGTTAACGCACGACGGACGACGACGGACAAAAACAGATGGCAATAGGTCACCTCAGGTGACCTAAACATCTATAAAGATATAAATCAATTTACATGTACAAATCAATATATGATATACTAGTAGCTTTATCGGAATCAAGGGAGATAATCCAATTACATGAAAATTACATATTAATTGATTGATTGTATATTGTTTAACGTCCCTCTTTAGAATTTTTCACTCACATGGAGACGTCACCGATGCCGGTGAAGGGCTTCAAATTTAGACCTATACTCGGCACTCAGGGCCATTGAGCAGTGAGGGTTCTTTATCGTGCCTACGCCTACCGTTACATGGGAACTACGTTTTTAAGGTCATATCCGAAAGACCCATGACTTTCTCTTCTAGTGCCGAGCGCTTGGCGAAGGAACAGTCACTACCTTTGTTTACGTCTTAGGTATGAAGGGGCACCGCGATCGAGAATCGAACCCGGGTCTCCCGATCACGAAGCGAACGCTCTACCACTAGGCTACCGTGACCGGTAATAATAAAATTTTTGACTTTTTTTGTGCAGTATATAAGGGTTGTTATTTTCGCAGAACATATGTTGTATCTGTAATAGTGTTAGATTTGTATATAATAAAGTTATAGAACTTGCCAGAATATTTATTTTAACTTTTATTTCACTTATTAAAAACTTGGATCCACTCCTTAGTTCTCCCTTACCTATACATATGTGTATATACCCCAGGGCATTGATCAGGTATTTTGGAAGTGGTCATTGTGATTTTAGTATTTATTGGTCTTTGATTTGAAAGGTTGGATTCTATTGGTTTTCTTGGTTTATCCGGATTTTTCCCGCTTTATTATGACCATTCTTTGTTCTATGTGTTAATCAGACCAGACCTTTATACATAAGACTTGACATAAGATTTCCTTCTCTGGTAAGTTACTAATATTTTCTTTTATTAAATGTTTATCCTATAGTATGCTAAAGCCTTTTCTATTTGCACATACTAAATTGAATAAATGATTTTTGAGAGAAAGTTATTTTATGATGTAAATTTATTATTGGTTACAAGATCAATATGAAGTATTATCTAGAAGTAATTTGATATTACTCAGATTATGTGTTTTTATTATGATCAGAGATATTTTTGATTATATTGTTCAGAGTGAGCAATTGGTATATTTTTAATAGATTATATTTTTAAACATTATTGTATTAAATTACAGATCACCATTCATTTAGACATTTGTAACCCATACCAAGTACCGGTACCACCAAGACTCCGAATGAGTATGGAGGACGCTCCAGTGTCCATTAGTGATGAAGAAGACGAAGGTCAGGAGTCAGAGTTAGCTACAATGGATGATGATGTGCTCCATAAATACTCTTATTCCTAAAGGTTGTGGATGCCTATAATAAGAAATAAGTGCTTCTGCTATACAGAAGAGGATTTAAGGAATGTGATGGATACGATGAATCCAGCTGTCATGCCGAAATATAATTGGGAGGCCCAGGATCTCTTTGAGGAATGGCGCACTTTAATACATTAATTTTGGAGAAAGGGCCCATTAAGCAAAAATAATAATAATAGTAATTACCTGATGATATGGATTGGCGACAAGGGAAGAGATATCTATTCAACGTGAAACCTGTCAGATTTATTGATTTATATTGTTTAACGCCGAGGCGGCAATATTTCAGCGGATAAGTTTGTTTATTGGACGGTTTTGTGGAAGTTTTTGGTTTCTCTGGCGGCCCCCAATGAGCCTACTCTTTTTCGAACTCCAGAGAAACGGTCTTTTGCGTGCCATTGGGGTTGTTATCCCTGACACGAGGTACCATTTAATGTCCCATCCGACAGACTTAAAAATTTAAAAAAAAATGTTATGAATATGTTAACTGCTAAGAATAAAATGATCTTAATATATTTCATAAAAGTGCTGTAATCATTTTTATATTTTATTGTAAAAATCAGTTACATGCAAATACATGTATTCCAAAATTGCATGTACATTAACATTTGTAAAAAGTTCATATATGGTTTTTCAATTACCAAAAAGTCTATTTCGAATGGGTGTAAAATCAGAACATTCTAATAAAATATGATAAACAGTTATCGGACAATCACAGGATATACATTCCGGTTGAGACTCTTGATTCAGTAAGTATTCATGTGTAACTTTAGAGTGACCAATACGTTTTCTTGATATAATTACTTCATCTTGACGTTTTAGACCGAAGTCACATGATTTGTTAACTTTGTTTTCGATAACATAAAACTTATTTCATCACAAAAATTCCAATAAATTTGCCAAAGAGAATTAATGTAAATTTTAACGAGATATTTCAAATCAGTGTAAGGAATTTTAAATAAAGTAATTTCATGTTAAAGTGCTATTTTGTTGGCCGAGTGCAGGCGTAAATCCGATATGAGAGCCTACTAGAGGACCAAGCATGAGAGGGATCCCCAACGCGTGGAGAATTTACAACAGAAATGTTAATCAGTGGTCCGAGAGAACAGGGGTTCCGTTGACCCAGGACTTTTCATTTTTCAAAGGCGCATCCGTCACGGAGACCAATACGACTGTCCTCCCGACAGTGAAGGAGATTGAAGAGATGGCTCCCGAGACTGCCAAGGATGATAAAGCGAAGAGTGTCTACCAGACACTGTGTGGAACCTTGAGGGACCAGGAACCAGTGAAGAGGAGTATTTCCCTGGATGATTACAAGGCTAGGAAGGAAGTCTCAGGAACCACCGTGTCCACTCAAACCTCTTGGAGAGACTACCTCAGTCTTATACTCCCTACCCTGCCAGACAGCAAAGAAGAGCTGCAGGCCTGTGCAATAGCATGGATCAGATTGGACGTGCCAGTGAAATAGCCAAACGAAGACTCGTGAAACTTGAAGGAGGGGAACGACAGAGGGAAAGAGAAGCAA